TTCTGCCTTCGCCTAAGAAACAAAGAAGGTTGCTCAGACACGACCTCTTTTTGAGAAAGCCATACTGGGCAGGGCTAATCAACCTATGTCGAGTGACGTGTTCACGGAGAGCTTTCCTAACAATGGTTTCTAAGCCCTTACACAGCATGCTGGTCAAACATACGGGTCAGTAGTTACCAGGTTGCTTCTTATCTCCTTTCTTGTGAATGTCTACCACTGTGACAGTTGCCCAATTTCTAGGTACTCGGTACTAGGTTGTAGCGAATACGTGCCGATGTGACGATTAAACATTGCAAGCAAATAAAGGCAGTAGAAAAGCGAAAAAGGGTCACGCGTGTTGCGTGGGGTTGAACACGTGCCAGCTTAAATATACACCTGAGCGGAAAACCGTGCTCAGTAAGACGAACAGTGAAGTAAAATACAATGAAGTTTCACAGTTGGAGTCAGAGTTGATTGTGAAGAAAAAATGAAAGGGAAACTTTATCGTGAATTGCTCTTTGTCTTCGTACAGTCATTGTCACTGCAAATCTACCATCCAACAGGCGCACTAACCGTGACAAATAGTGCAAAAGCCGAACTCTTAACCTGCGTCAAGGACCTTTTGGCTCCGGTTCAGTCACTGATCTCTCCCATCAGGATCCAGGACAAGGCCACAGGTCATTTTTCGCACGCCGCCACATTAATCTTCGGCGTCCGGATCCATCATCTTCAGGTATCTGTTGGTATCGTCGTCGATTTGATGCAGCTGTTAAGAGATGGCTTAAACCTTGCACCCATAAGCTTCAATCGGGAAAGCCGTATACCGGCTGTCCCAGACGACGATCATGTCCGCCTAGCCTCAGCCAAGTGGCCCGCTCTTTGTCATTGATAGGAATACCGGCATACGAGCTGACAGCGAGGCTAATGGAAAAGATTGCTGCTCCAATGTGGGGACACTGTGGTGTGGTTAGTTAGCACCTATGATATACTAAGAGGGGAAGAGTGGCAAACTGTGTTAATTGATCTTATTTTTGGGGTCCCAAGGAAAATAGCGGATGAAAAACAAAGTCAGTGACGATAGTTGACAGTTGTATATGGGCTAAAGCATGACGTAACTCACCGGAAACTACGTTATATTCGAGGTAGTTTGAGAACTCGTAATATATGGTGATAAAACGGAATGAAGCCTTTACATAAGGAAAGGGAATGAAGTTCAAAATAAAAAGTATTAGTAAATAGCCCTACTCCCCCAGCAAGGTGTATGAGGAGCTGCAAACCATCCAAATATACAACGCATGCGAAGTATGTGTGAGTGAAGTGGATGTGCATGGATTAGTGTGGTGATCCTAGCCGACTAGATGACGCATATCACGGAGCGACACGATGCGGTTTTCGGACAAATGTGATGAATCATTTATTCCGGTTGACGTCAGCAAAGCGCGTCCGTGTTACGAACCACAGACCGATTTTGCCAACCAACCAGAAACCATGCGGTTCAGACAAAACTTGAACAACGCCAGAAATACTAGCACGCGATTGTCAGAAGCTTTAATGACCAATTAACTTGTTTTGTACATACTATTTAATCCCCTCTATTTCTTTCGATAAACAAACTACTATTTCTGTGACGTTTTCCTCTCGTCTCGGTTACGTGGGATTCTGTCGTGTTAGTACCAGCGTGCTCCAGTGCTTACGTGACGTCTGTGATTCGCATTTCGTGATCAGTGCATACTACAATTACTCAAAAACCAAGAGGAGGCAGTCAATAAGAAAACATTATCAGTACGGCAAGAATCGTTGAAGGAAAATAAAGCCTGCCCAATGGTTGTCATAGTGGTGACATTTATTTGGAGTTCACGTTCTTGAAGTAAATTCTCTTTCTTGACGAATCCTGGATGAGGCTGTGGATACGCACTAATAAGAGTAAAAGTCTAGTGTGGTGCTTCCGAGTGTTGGGTTGACTAGAAGAGCTGAGTAATGCATATGAGGGTGAAGTCCGCTGGATGGTCAGTTCTAATCAGTCAATATCAATTGTCCAACAAAACTACTCACAAGTAAAGGTGAGTTCAATGAAAACAGACTAGTTGTTAATTAGTAGCACATGCTCTACAGTAGATAACACGATGGGGATGGCAGGATTCTTTCTGCCGCTCGTAGCCGCATTTGGTTCAGATGGAATCAGATCCCATGACTTGTGGCTTGAGCTAACGTGAATCCAGATTACTGCACGGGTGGGTGTGAATGTCCCAACTTGCTTCCTCCATCCGGTATTCCAATACTTCGGAACACCAAAAATGGATTTGTGGATAAAATTTCCTTGCGTTAAGCCCACAAATTGCAGAGTGAAATATCAGGATCATTTCTGGAACAGATAAATTTATCTATATCCAGCGCTGTACGCACTGCTTGTCAAGCACATTATCTTGACTGACAATAGAGTAAATGAATGGAAAGGAGTAGAAGAATAAGGGTGATATAGCGTTGCAATAATATGTGAATGAGATGGAACATTTTCAATGGTCTTCAAAAAGGAAGCGGATGCATAGAAGACGGTTGTAGCACACATGTAAGAGCACAGTAGTTGGATGAGGCGAAGGAATAGTGAGGTCTTCTATTGTCCAGTCTGGCCTTGATCTGCACTACGGTCGGAACTGGCACTACCTACCTGAAACTGTATTCTTTTCACGCTTTTACCATCCAGGTGGGAGAGGCCGTTTCTCTCTTATGCTCTTCAGAGCTCTGGGGTTGCTCAGATAAATTTAAGAGATAGGTTGTTATCCATGATAAACAAGGTTTGGAGATGGAGAGACTAGCTCACGACCTAGGGAATCGATCCGGTCTCCATCCCATGATTCTCGNGATAACCCGGTAGGTATCATGAACAACACCCAGTTGGGCAAGGGAAAATATATTGTTCCCTTGAAAGCACCGAAATTTTAGCTTGACCACATCCGCGAGTATCTGAAGGGGAAATGCTTAGTAAGCGATGTAGCACTGAACTCATAAACCGTTTAAGTGAAGTCACTACAAAGGAGAAGAACACCCGAGTGAATGCTCAGAGCAACCAATGCCTGCAACCATAGGAATGCACACGTGCGGAACATGCAGACCAAAAATGGTGCCAACTTTCGAGCATGTTGGTCTGAAGCCACTACAAAGTGGCATCCAAAGGAGGAGCTCGGAGGCCTCGATAAGATCCCCTAGAAGCTTCTTTGACGGGGAAATGTCCCAACTTCTCCTGCCATTGTGTGTACGTCAACGCACGCCCAGAGGCACGGGAGAAGGTTACAACAACAGAACCCGGAACTACTGGGCACAAACCTGGCATGCGACAATTAATTCAAGAGCTGATAACTTGAAGAATGACGGATGCGGACACGAAGGATACAGCGATCCCGGAAGAAGTGATCGAGTGTAGTAGAACGGTCGACAAGAAGTTGTAGCTCCGAGGAAAGTTTTGTTCCGAATGGAGGAAACGTCTAGATGATTGGTTGGATAAAATCTTTACCGTCCTGTGCCACCTCACCTGACTTGATTTGTCTTCAAAATTATTTTGCTAGCCAGTACCAATACGAGAAAAATTATAGAACTTTGAGAAAATTGATTAAATTTCAAGAGACCTAATGGCATTCTCAGAAAAATGATGAGAATGTATCGCTATGTTTTGGTTGATTGGGCACTTTTTGTTTGAACCTATAACTAGCCAAACGCCATAGCAGGCGCGCGTTACGAGTCAGCAAAAATACTGGGAATTTTGTCCGATTCTATCAATGGAACCCTCACACTATGCATCCCAATGAGTCCCTCAGTTAGAAAATACTCATATTGGAATAAACCGCAATAAATAACTCAGTTTCCTCTTGCTCACATATCACTGTGCTGCAAAAGGCATAATGCAAAAAAGAAGAAGAACTGGCGCGAAAAAGGCATCCGATGAGCAAGATGACACCAAAGACCTTCCCGTATACTGTATATGTCGCTCCACAGATGGTGAAAGATTTATGATGTAAGAATGTTTAAAAATTAATATTTTTGTTAGTGCTTGCGACCGCTGCGAGGAATGGTACCACGGAGATTGCATTAATGTAACTCCGAAACAAGCAGAACAGATAAAAACTTTCTACTGCCACCAGTGTAGGAGTAAGTTGTTCATTCCAGTGGTCGAACTGTGTA